GAATATTGAAAAATTTATTTGAATTTATTATTGAAAATTTTTTATCATAAACCTTCTTATTAGCTAATTAACTTTTTGCAATAATGTCTAATAAATAATTTTTTATATAGAAATGTGTAAAAATCAAGATTAAATTCATAAATTTTTTTTATATTAAAATTAAAATTAATTAATAAATTATTATATTATTTACATTTTTTTATAATTATTATTGATTTAAATTCAATACGAAAATATTATTGTTAATACAATAAAAATGATATACATAATAGTGCAATTAAATAAAATTTATAAATATTAATTTTAGAATCAATATAAATTTAATATATTTAAAAATTTCAGCAATATTTTAAAATAAATTCTTATTAAATTTTTAAGTTTCCATTTCTCTTATATTTCCATTTGAGAGTTTTTCACAGCTTTTAAAGATTACATATCCCCTTAAATAATTCTTATTATTTGAAAGCAAAAGTAATTCTCAAGTAGAATAATACACAATTTGAAACTATTCTTCAGAATAACTGTTGGAAAATATTTGAAGAAATTTTCAAATAGTATCTTAACTTTAAAATAAAAAACAAAAAAAAATTCGAATCGAAATAGAGTATATTAAACAAACTAACATTAACTTCAGTCGATGCTGCCGAATTGCTGTGGAAAATGGTCATCACAAAAGTCAGAGCCACGACGACCTACCTACAGTAGTCTATCACGTTACCCGAGATCCACATTTAGACAAACAGATGATCATCAGAATTCACCGTCAATATCTGTCAGTGACGATACTCAAAAGTTGACAAGCATCGTACGAGTATCGAACATGACCGAGTATAATGGATTAACAGAACCGAAGAAGGACAATGAGCGAAAATTGCCTGATTCGACGATGAACAAAATCAATAATCGAGAATACGAAAGAAGCATGTCGAGAGGATCGAATTCCAATCAATTCACCTTGATGACGACTGTTAACGAGGGTAACAACAATATGACTGCCACTTACGTGAACGAGTGTCTATTAAACATTCAAAAACCTCCAAGGACTCTTACGCTTGGCAAGTGAATGAATTTTTATTTTATTTTTTAAATCTGTTAATTTTATGAATGGAATTAAAAGTATATATTTACAAAAGTTAATCGCTAATCTCAATATTGTTGTGAAAATTTTATTCGGTTATTTATTAAAAAGTTATTAACAAAAACAATTCAAGTAAAGTTAGGTTAGGTCGAGTCATTGTTTATTAACCCAAATCTAATATAAACCATGAATCAAATAAATCAAAAAAATTAAATAAATTTTTACTTAATTTAATTAAAAAATTTTAAATCTTGATATCAATTTTAAGTTTAATTTTATCTGAAATTAAAATTAAATAAAAATTCATTGAAGCCGATTTAATGCATATTATATTAATATTTAATTTTTGTATTGAGTTTGGGTTGGTAGTTTTCTTAATTTGGTTGTCATGAGGCCATCAATTGTTTGTAGTAAAAAATTAAAATTAATTTGATTTATCTTAATTTAAATTGTTTCGAAGAAACATTTTTGTTAATAATAAACAATAACAATTCTTCAGTAATGATTTTAATATATTAAAAAATCATTAAAATTGGAGGATAATTTTTATATAAATAATTACCGCGATTAATTTTAATATGTTCATTTAATTTTTTATATTATCTATATACTTAATTTAAAATATAAAAATATAAAAATTAAATAGAAAAATTTCATCTCATAAAATTCCATTATTAAAGGAAAATATTTATAAATTTATTAAATTTATAATTAAAAGGATTATAGAAATAGAATTTAAAAATTAAAATAGGCGTATGAAAATATATATACGAAAGTAATGGAATATTATTTTATATAAAATTTATTTAATCCGAGACCTAACTTTAAAAATATTCATATATGTAGAGTACAATGAAATATATATGAAAAAATTTTTTTCAATTTTTTTTCAATCTTTTTCGGCAATCCTGAACTTTCATACTTTAATACAATTTTACTTGAAAATATTTTTTACAATAAGATAGAATGCTAAAATTTAAATATTTTATATATATATTTAAAATTCTAATTATAACTCATATTTTAGAAAAAATTTAAAAAAAATTTAAAAAAGCATTTATTTATTATTATTTAAGACTTAAATAAAAATTATTTATATTTTAATTTATTGTTTTATTTTAATTATTGTTTTATTTATTGTTAAGATAATATTAATTAAGATAAATGTCTAATTTTAACAGTTGTTAAATTAAGTCTAAAAAATAATTATATTAATAAAAAAATATTTTCACATATATACATATGTATAAATAGCATTTTCCGTATACTATTCTTATTTTAATAATTTATATAGAAAAGAATTTATGGTTATTTGATGATGATTTTTTAAAAATAATGTTTTTTAAAAATGAGTCCTTGAAATGGATCATAAATTGCTTATAGAACATTAAATACGTAGTTATAAATATTTATAAGCAATACAGGTTTAAAAATTGTAAAATTTAAAAGTAAAATTATAATCATTTGACTAATGATTATCTCAATTATATGTAAAAATCTTCAATATATAAAAAAGATCAATAAAACTACTTTATGATATTTATTTTATTATTATTAATGTAAACAATTAATCAACATATTGATATTTATATAAATTTTTAATTAATATTAATATAATTAGTAAATATAATAAAATTAATTATTTAATTAGAATATTTTTCTTGCATATATAATATTTTAAAAATCACATATTTAATATATTTTATAATTTATTGAAATATATTGTAATAAATATTATTCGTAGCAAAATAACACCTATAATTAGATTTATTAAAAATGTTTCCATATTAAAAATCAATTTTCGGTAAAAGTTTCAATCACAGAAAAATTTTTTAATCACAGCAATAAAAAGTTAAATATGATAAGACAATAATTTTATAAATTATAATTAATCAATTTTCAATATTTTTTCAAACAGGAATACTTGCCGAAAGATTGAGATTGGAAACAAAAGAATTATTTTCACCTCAGCAAAAAACTAAGAATAATCTGATGAAATTGGAGACAACGATAGCCCTGCCATCTAGATTTCAAAGTCACCCAAGTATCGACAGTGCAAATACTATCAGCAATTCCAGTTTACAAGATTATGATGAAACAGAATTCAGTGGCATGGAATTGGCACGATATATGGGTGAATTAAACTGTGATTTAATCGCTTAATATTCGCTTCGAAATGAAACGTTCCTTCATCGAATAAACGTAGCATAAGTATTTAATATAATTAAGAATCGTTGTTAAACCAAATATCTCGAAAAAACTAAGAATTTAAGAAGTTAAGAATCTCAGATATAAGAATTTATATATTACAAAAAAAAAAAAAAAGAAAAAAAAAGAAAAATCGGAATATTCAAATCAAAAGGAAAAAATAAATATTCATCTTTTAAAAAGAAATATATTTGCCTATCTTGCATTATTTTATCTATATTGTATTATTATTTAACAACAGGGAATCTACAAATAAGATAATATAAATAATATTAAATAACTAAAATATAAAGATTTCCAATATATGAGATAAGACACCTAAAACAAATCATTTGAACATCTCGATAGTTATTGGTAATAGAAAAAAATATGTGACATTCAATATCATACATGTTTGATCTGACACATCTTTTTTTATCACCAATAATAGTCGAAATATTCAGACCTATTTTATCTCACACATCCTGTATAGAATTGTCCACATTAAATAAGAAGAAAAGACATATTTAACAAAATTCAATATTACTAACTGAAATAAATTTTTATGTTATTTATCTAAACCATTATAATTATTAATATCTTTTTCGCGTATGTGTGAAAATTTAAATAATTAAGATGAGAAAATTACTAGAAACAATAAAAGTTATCATAATAACAAGTAAAATTCGAATAATATTATAAATATATAATAGTTTCAATTTAATTTGAAAATTAATTAAAAATTAATTGAGATGACGATATTGTACTGGTTAAAATTACTTGAAAATCATCAAAGATAATTGAAAATATATAATTGATAATTGAAAAATTATAGTGTGATTATTCATATTCTGATTTTATAAAATAGATCTATAATAGATCTATAATAATCTATAAATCTATAATAAATTATATCAATCTGTAAAATAATTGATGTGATTATTGGTAAACAAAATTATTAAACATCCTTAAAATAATATTTTTCTCAAGGAAAATTATTTCAAGATCTTAAACGTATGATAATGATAATATGTAACTCTGATTTAAATAATTATTATACAGCCAAGTTCATTCGAAGATAATGAAGAGTTAGTAAGTTATATATATTATATATTAACGGTTAAGAATATTTCAAGAATATTTTATTTAAACGATGCTATATTTTCTGCAAATAGAATTTATCAAAATAAACGAATACCTCAAGAATAGCGTGATAATAATGTTAAAAAGTTGTTATAATCATGTTATCATTATATTGGTAATCTTTATTTAAATGATAATTTTTTATTTTTGAAAAATAATTTATGTATTTTTATATATAATGAACAGTACCATTCATGATTATCCATTGAAATTAATGAATGTTACGATTCACCATTGAATTTAAAAAATTGAAAAAAAATAATATATTATAAAATTAGAAAAAATTTATTAAAAATAATCTTGAATGTTACTGTCAATAAATCGATAAATTGCTTATATCTTTACATTCCGTACTCTTTTCACAAAAATTCTTCATATACCTTAAAAATTCAAATCTAAGAAAAATTCTTTAAATATGTATAAATATTATTTATTTTTATACTCGCATAATACATGACAAATATATGTAAAATTGTGTATTTACTTTATCTATATTTACGAAAATGTAATGCAAAATTTGTATCAAATGCGATTTAATGTAAAACATGTGCAAATAACTTATAAAAAGAATAAATCAATCAATGAGTCCTTACCATAGGAATACCATAATTTAATCATAATTTTTTCATATAGCAATAATACATGCAAAAAATCATAACGTTTAAGGTATGACCATAGGTTTGGGTCGATTCTTCAAATATGTTTTGATGTTGGGTAATGATCTTACTTTCTCAGACAACTTTTTCAATTCAGGATGATCTTTATTCAAATCGTATCCAAGCAAGTCGGTCAAATATTCCTCTATTGCTGCGTAGAAAAGATCTGCCCATGTCAACTGTAACAAGAATTCATTCAATTTAGAAAAGAATTTTGATTAAAAATGGAAAATAATTATTTTTTTGTTCTCAAATCATATGTCAAAAAATAAATGGAATCTCAGTGAAAAAATGACACAAGTGCCTTTTTTGCAAGATCAAATACAAAAGTAAATATAGGAAGCAATAATATTCATTTAAAAAATTGTATTAATTGTATTAATTAAATTTAATATAATATTTAATTATTATATATTTTAATATATGAAAACATACATGTTTTCAAATTTATAACTTTACTTGTAATTTTAAATTGGAAATTTTTTCACTTGTTTCACTTTTTTTAAATTCTCATATATTTATATTTTTATTGAACTAAAATCTGTTTAATTACATAACTTCATTTAACAATTTAATTTACAATTATTTTATAATATATTATTAATTATAAGTATTAATTATAAGTATATATATAATTTAAAGTTATTTAATTTATTAATCATATTTAATTTCATTTTTTAGATTTTTAACTTGGATTAATTTTATATATATTATGTATATTATATTATATTATATAATAATATAAATTGTGCAAATAAAAAAAATTACCTTTCCATTAACAAAGTATCCTTTATTCTTCTTTACTTGTTCTTCCAATTTGTTAAGAAGCAAGGGAACTTTAGTATCAACATTGGTTTTCAATTTTGCCTTGAATGCAGGATCCTTTTCCCAATAATGCTGAATAATTGCTATAAATTATCGTAATATATAAATTATCGATTATATAACATTATATATTATTGATATAGTTTATTTTTAATGTTATTGGGATTTATTAACAGATTAATAAATTAAAAAATAAATTTTTTTATTAAGATTTCTGAAATTCTTTATTTTTTTTTTTATTTTTAAAATAAATGAAGATCTTACGTTGTTTTAAATCGTCTATAGTATCAACAGTAGCATCAACAAGGAAAGCTTCTTCATCATTGGAACCATAAAGATTATTTCTCTTAGCGATCAAACGAGAAATAGCCTTCGATTGATAGTAAACTTTACCATCGATTTCCAAAATAGGTACTTGTCCAAGTGGCATTCCTAAAAAAATTATAATTATTAAAGTAATAGTAGATTATTATATAAAAATATAAATTACTATATAATAACGTATACATTATTAGAATCTGAAATTACACAAATTGAAATTGATTAATAAATTATTATATAAAATCGTATATATTTTTATAACTTGAAGATACACAGCAAATTAAAAAAATTAAATCATAAAAAAAATTATTTATTGTTAATTATTTTTTATATAAATTAAATGTCATACCAGATTTAATCTTAGGCCATTCTTCGGTATCAATCCTTTTATCTTCAAATTTAATTCCACTTTGATGAAGAAGGAATCTGATTGGTTCAGCAAGACCAAGAATGTTGAAATAAACCAATTTATAATTGGACATTTTCTGTAATTAAACAAATATATTATATATTATATATATAAACTAAATATAATATATATAAATATAAACATATTTATTATAAATTGCGCAATACGACAAAATTACACTGATTATATACTTTTAATATATCTATATACGTAATAAATAAATAAATAAGTAGAAAAATAAATAGAAAAAAGTAAAAAAGTAATATGATTTATTAGTATATATAAAAAATAGTATTTTATAAAAATCCTTAATTTTATTTACACCTTGATTATGCAATTATTTTTACAATTCATATATATATTATGCAATCTTCATTAATTTAAAAGACTTAATGAATTATTAGTTGTAAGAATATTTTTGAATATTTAAAAATATGGAAATTTGAAAAAATTTAATTAAGAAAAATAAGAAATCTATAGATTTAAAAATTTGAAGTTTAAAAAGTTTAAAAATTATAATGTAATAAATTTGTGGATTTAAATATTCAAAAATATATAAATTCAAATATTCAAAAATTTAATAATTAGAAAATTTAAAAATTTAAAAGTTGAAAATTCAAATTAAATTTTAAAAAAAGAAGAAAACAGTAAAATCAAATGAAGCTTACGTTCAAGATTATGCAAACAAATTACGGAAAATATTATCAATTACCTATTAGTAATAGAAACCAACTGTTAAATAAAAATAAAAATAACTAATAAAACTAACTATTTGTGTGCTTAATATCAAAGCAATATTCAAGAATGTTCCAAACGGAACTTATTGTTAGCTTCAGCGGTAATTTTCAATTCAGTTGTTACGTAGAATTTCACATTTAGCATTCGCAATAAAAATGATTAATAACGCCAAGGTTCTAGCATTGACTCTGTTAATCATACAGATCATAGATAGTAACTATTTCGATAAAAAAATTCACTGATATTATATAATATTGTTGCAATATATTAAATAAAATGATTGAAAATCGAATAAATATATAGATATATTAATTAATATTTTATTTTAACATTAATGTCTTTTTATCATAAATGTTATTAAATAAAATAATTAAAACATTTTACATATTATAATTTATTAAATATTATTTTACTATTTTTAGAATTATAAAAATACTTGTAAAAATCTAAAAAATTAAAAATAAAATTATAAAACAGAGATTTTAAGAAAATATTAAAATAAAAATTTTAAGCGATATATTGAAATTTTAAGAAAATTTTTTAAATGAAAAATAATAAAATAGAAATTTAATAAAATTCTAATGAATTTACAAAAATTTATATTGTAAACTATCAGCGCACTAAAAAAAATTATAAAAATTTTCAAAAAGATTACAAAAAGAATATAATATAATAATAAAATATAATTGCATAAAAATTTATTTAATTTTATTTCTTATTAATAATAAGAAACCATATTAAAAATTTTGGCGAAGATTTCTTTTTAAATAATAGAATTTTAATGAACTTACGAAGATATGCGTTAGATTGTAATGTAACCAACGTGACGGTCTTTCACAGATTACTGCATTTATATTACTAACGACGAGTTTTATATATCTAGACTTACCTATAGCTACACTAATCGAGTGTATCTTATTCCCCCACTAAACTCATTCATATTGATGTGACAAATCACAACAGTATATGTGTTAGAATCAACTAGTAGAATTCTTTAATAGAATAATATTCTTTGTAGTAACTTGTTAATAAATAAATCACTTCGTAATAGATATTATAAAAAAATTCTATGACCTGAAAGATCTATTTGGGTTATTGAATGATCTATCTGATATCATGACTAGCAATATTTATTATAATTATAGTTATTTAATAGTCTGTAAAGTCAATTATTGTTTTAAAAAGATAAGTATTTTATTTCTCGATATATTCCTCTGCTATAAAATTTAGACAAAGTAAGATATTATTGTAAACTGTAAATTATTTTAAAAGAAATTGTATTATGTTGAAATAGTTGGTGTTATATTACAAATCGAAAATATATTTTTTAATGGAATTAAAAATTATTGTTCCTTTATATATAATTGAATAATAAATAATAAAATTTATTAAAATTTAATGTCTTTTGATAGACTAATTTTCGATATTGATCCATTTAGTCATGTTAGATTGTTTATGATGATAAATATTTTATAAAATTCTGCAAATCATGATTTGATAGAACAGGAAACTTATGATATTACATTACATTATGACATAGTAAGAATTTTAAAAAAAATAATATTTTTAAAAATTTTTAAAAAGTATTTTATTTTATAATAATTATAAAATATATTATAATAAATAACTTATGAAATTTATACAAATTTTTTTAAAAAGTTATAAAATATTCCGATAGAAGCTAAATCAGTAAAGTCAGTAAGTCAATAAAAAATTTTGAATAGTCATTCCCTTGCAACAATTTTAACTTTATCATTCTGCTATAATATTTGAAGTTAATGTTATCTATACATACTAACTATTACGTATTTAAACTTATACTTAAACGTTTATTGAATATATCAATATAAATCAAAATGAGTCACTTCTAAATAAATATTATAGTAGCAAAAATATCACTCAATATTGATTGTGCAATTCTGCAAATCAATATTGAAACTTAAGTAATTCAAGAATTATTCGATGCACTTGCGAATCACAAAATTGAGATTTTTTGAGAAACATGAGAAGATATATATAAAAAATATAAAAAAAATTATTAACTACTAAAAATACATGATTGAGTAAAATATCAAAATGTGCTATAAATAATCTCTATAATCTCCATTAAAAGATAGTATAAAATAATGAAACATTTTCAAATTTTTATGATAATAATATTTATGAAGAAAATTAGAATTTATAAAGAAATGAATCGTAAAAATTTTTCAAATTGATTCATTTGATTTTGATATAATTTTATTCTAATTTTAATTATTTGATTTATTAACAATAATTTTAATTATTGTTAATTCATAATCATTAAATTTCATTTCTTTTCTATATACGATTCTATATACGAATCTTGCACAGTTCGATAAAATAATAAATTGCGTTTGATAAAATAATAAGAATAAAAGTTGCATGAATAATTTGATTTTTGATTTTTGTTTTAAATAGATATTAATACAAAGAATCATTAATTAATTAAATTTAACAAAATAAAAATGAAATTATTATTATTATTCTTTAATAAACATTTAGAAAGAATTAAGGAATTCGATCGATTTTTAATTTGAATTAACAATTTTTGTTATATATATATTTAATCTACAAAATTTAAAAAAAATAAAATATTATAGATATAAATAGAAAAAGCAAAGGCTAATTAAACTGATTATGAGCAAATTGTACTCAAAAATATGCATACGAATTTTTAGATTTAATTTTCTCGAAAACACAAAAAAAAAAGATTTTATGTTATATTTACAATTCGTTTTTATATCAAAGACTATCTATATCTTTATTGTATCTTCAAAAAATCTCTATATTTGGCAAGAATACGAAAAGAATTTAAATCTATTAAAATAAATAGAATGAAGTAGAAAATTTCTGTTTTCACTTTTTTCACAAAGTGTAAATAATGTTCTAAAAATCAGAACTAATTTCTTTTTTTGCAAAAATATTATTTATAGCTAAGAAATTAATTATTTTAAATATGATTCTATCTTATTTGATATAAATAAATTTTTTTTGAGATTAAGTCTGTACACGACTCAAATGATTATACAATAACAATAATTGTTTTGATAAAAAATTTGTTTTTACGCGAATTAATTTATATTTAAATAGATAATATTCAAATTTAATTGACTGTATCTTTTTTAAAGAAAAATTCTTTATATTCAAAAAAAAGTATTGCTTGTACATTTTTTATCAACTCTCAATATTTTTTTTAGATTTGACACAATACAATATTATTAAAATAACAAAATAGGATTTTGAATTTCAAATTTAAGAAAAAAAAAATATAATTTCTTTATTACATATTAAACTTTGTAATATATAATAACTTCTTTATTATTAATATTATTTGTAATACAAAAGCACATGGTTTAAACAGTTTATAATGTATTTCTGTAGGGATACAAATATATATTTCTTTATTGTAATGGATCAACCATTTATTAACGATACGATCTAAAAAAAAGCTCTAATTAACTGACAAAAATGTTGTTCATAACTGAAACTAAGCTGTTAAAAGCATCTTCATATATTCCATACAAGAATTAACATTTTCATGAAAGCAATCAAAGCGATCCATTTTTTTAAAGAATTTAGATCGCAAACTTAAAATGTTTATAGAACAGAAAGTAATCAAGAAATGAAAAATTTAGAAATCAGTATGTGGACGCTTATCAAGCCAACTTTTAATAGCAGGTAAATTGACAACTTTTTCTTTCAACTGCTTCAGATTGTCATATTTCTCAATGAGATCGGATCCATTCATGAAATTTAAATAGTCGAGCAAAGCAACAAATGATAAATCAGCCCAAGAAAGAGCACCACCAACAAAGTAACCACCATTATTCTTCACTTGAGCATCTAAACGTTCCAGATAATAAGGTACTACTTCATCAGCAATTTTGCGTTTCGCAGCTTTAATTTCTTCATTTTCTTCATAGTGGAAGGCAGCAAGTCCTAAAATTTAAAAAATTTAGTAATTATTTGCATACAACATAGAGCATTATATAAAATTTAAATATTATATTATAATTGAATTTTAATTATAATTATAATTATAATTGAATAATTATATTAATTGAATTTCAATTAATTGAACAAATATTTTTTATTAATACTTACTTGCACGAACATCATGAATAGTATCAACAATACTATCAATTTCTAGAGCTTCCCAATCATCCTTTCCAGCTAAACCAGATTTTTTTGCCAAATAACGGGAAATAGCTACTGACTGAGCTACTTTCTTCCCATCAACATCAAGTACAGGAACTTGGCCAAAAGGGGTAGCTAAAAAATAAATAGATGAAATATTCTATTTAATAATTACTTTAATTTTTCAAATTTATTAATAAAATTAAAAACTATCAATTGATTCAAAAAATTAATTTTCTGTTAAATTATTATAAAATTTTTAAATATCTAACAGTTGCCTGTTATTATTTGCTTTAGAGAAGCAATTTTAGTTTATTGACAGTTTATCAATGAACAAAGGGTATTGTCTCCTTAACAATGCCCATTGTTGTCTAAGGTATCTTATAGAGTAATAAAAAAAGTAAACAAAATCTGTATTATATCTTTCACATTATTTAATAAATCACAAAAAATAATGGTTAAAAAAGCATGAATTTACTTAAATTTTAAACTTACTAGGTTTTATCTTTGGCCAATCATCTCTATCAAAACGCTCATCTTCAAATGAAATTCCAGCATAACTTAAGAGAAAACGAATTGGTTCACCTAATCCTTTAACTGGGAAGTAAGTCAATTTGTAGGTAGACATTTTGCTGTAAGGATAAACTATATAAAGTTAAATAAAAGAATCATTTATAAAAGAAAAAGAAAAAAGAAATAAACAGAAAGAAATTAACAAATATACAGAAAAATACAATATAAAAAAAGACTATATTGTAACACAATAAATTTTAATCTTAAAAGATAAAAAAAGTAAAAAAATAATTTAATTGAAAGCACTAATAATTTCAAATCTTTATAATATGATTTAGAAAAATCAATTCAATTTGTAATAAAATATTATATAAAATAAAAATAATATATATTCTGTTATTTTTATTCATTCTTATTCATTCAAGTTCAGATATAAAAAAAATATTTTTGAATAGAAAAATTTGTATCAAAATATTTTATAAGTATTTTTATGAATAAATTAATATGATGAATAATAATATGAAAAAATGAATAAAATAAATGAATAAAAATACAATATTACCGGCATATATTCTATCACTAACTATATATGTTAATAACCAAACTTACAATCATAAATTTATAATCAACGAATTCATGTAACTAGTATTTTCAAAATGTCAGTTATATTCATGGACTAATTTTCTACTATTAACTTGAGCATATATATATGTATGTACATATATAGATCTATAATACTCAAGCTCCCTCAATAGTAATTTAGTACTATTCTTAGTCAAATAAATTTTCGTAATCACAAAACATTTAAAATTGTTTTTTCAATGATATACTTTCAGTGACACATTTTTTAAAAACATATTAAAATCTACATACATTTACATTTATATATTAAACTTCAACAACACTTATTTTTTTCAATAATTTTTAATTATCCTAGCCGGCAAAAATGTATTGAAAACTTGTAGTTACACATATAAACTTTATTAATTCTGAATCATAAAAAAGAATATATATAAAAAAATACAACATAACATTTTAAAAAAACATTTAATTTATATTATTTGCTATTTACTTACAATTTCTAATGAGATTCGTAAAACGAAATAACAGCAGGATTCTTCCGAGCCAGTCAACGGAAAGTTAAGTATTATGACGAAATCAACTCTTCAAACACCTATATAGTATCTCCTATCGCACCTACATACCACTAACATCTTATTGGTGGAGCTACGATGAATATCCAACGACACTCCATTTAGAAACATCCAGAAAAATTAATTAAAATTGAAAACATTATGCTTTAACGTTAATAAATTTTATTAAATAAAAATTGAAATTTTTTATTATTCGTAAAAATATAAAATATTCAATAAAACATCACAAAAGCAAAATATTAAAGAGGAAAAATTTATAAATGTGAACAGCGCCATCAAATAAAACTATACAAGATAGTAAAGCGCGAAGTTTGAAATAATATAAAATGATAATTTCTAAACATTATAATTAAATGATATGAAATTTGCAATTATCAAATATAAGAAAAAAACAATATGATAATAGAAAAATATATAAATTTGAAGATCGGGAAACAAAAAAACAATATAAACTTGTTATTCGATTTTTATTGACATATATAAAATGAAATATTTCATTTTTAATATTAATTTAGATGATTAAAATAATAATAATATCATATAAAAGTTAATATTTTTATCAATCATCATATTTATGATTAAATGTTTCTTATCATGATCGCTCTCTTATCGGCAGTAGTTAAGTATACTTCTGTCGATAAGTAAAATTGGAAAATTACTTATATTGTATATTATATTGTACATTATAATTGAAGTAATATTTTACAAAAAAAATATGACAGAAAAATTTCATTATATCATTCGAAAATTTTACAATTACAATGATTCAATAAATATTTATTGATTTTTTAATGTTTAATTGATAATATTTAATTAGAACCTTTATAATATTGTTATATATATAATATTATAATATTATAATAATATATTATAATATTATATATATTATTATATATATAGTATTAATTAAAGATATTGCAACATTTAAAAATCAATTCTTTATTCTTAAATTTTTTTCTTATAGTTCATTTCATTGTCTATAAATTATGTTATATGAATACTAAAATAATTTACATTCATTAATATTTAAAATTTTTATTTTTGAAAAGATATTATTTTTCCACTCATATAATTTTATTAAATAGATCACGAAATAAAAAAAATATCTCAAAAATATAAACATCACTTAAAATAATAGCAAGGTAATAAATATGTAAATAATTAGAAATAATACGAAACATAAAAAATAATATCTTTTTTTTAATATTATTGTTTTTATTTGTTTTGAACAAAAATATCTTTCTTTTCATGTAAATGATATTTTAAAGTTATTTTATTAAATTTCTTTTTAATAAATTTTATCGTAATAGATGAGATGTAATAAGGAAATCTATTTACTTAATTATTTAATTTGTTTAATTAATATATAATTAAAATAGAGATTGTTTGAATGAATAAGAAATATGATATATTATTATGTACTTTATTTACAACTTATATATATATATATATAATGAAAACAAATTTTTCTTCTAATATTAAATAACACATCATATAATTTTTATCTTACGATAGTTTATATTATATACATTTATTATTTGTGTTTTTTTAACTTATTTTAAACATGTAATAATTTTTACAAAGAAATAAAAATTATGAAATTCTATTAGTTAAATTTTCAGCGTAGTCATAGATAAACGATTTTGTTAGTAAACTTGTTAAAGGCATTTGTAATTTTATGTTGACTAACACAATAATACTTGACGAAACATATACACAAAATATACATAGACATATTATCATTCACCATTTTCCTCGCGTAATTTCAAACATTTTTAAAATTCCGTGTGTGGTCGTTTAGATAGCCAACTAACAATACTAGGTATTTCGTGAACTCTCTTTTTCAATGCACGAAGACCTGGATAATTTTCCAAAGCCATTGCTCCAAAAATATTCTCGAAATTTTCAAGGGCTACTGCGAAAACAAAATCTGCCCATGTCGTCTGAAAAATAATTTAAAAACAATTTACATATATTTTAGATAAATATTTCTTTAATTTTAAAGTTTCTAAAAGTTTCAATTTGTATTTCAATTTGTTTCAACTCAATAATTTATTTTAAGGATATTTTTTTAATTTATAAAGTAAATATATAAAAATGATTTATATAAATATTGTGAGGACATGCAGGATTTTAATTACTTTGAATAATTTGATAGAAAAAGTTTATATATGAAATTATGTAATTTTTTATCTCTTATCTTATAAATATCTTATAAAATTACTAATTTTCAATATATTATGTTTTTTCATTAAAAGAAGGCAATAAATTAATTTAATTTTTATAAATAGAATTACATTTTATAAAATGTTATTTATATTAAAAAATTATGAGTTTTATATATATATAATATATATAAAATGAAATATTTTAATTTTAATTAATTTCGTTAAAATGATATTAATAAATAATAGATATTTTTTATTTAATGGTTATATTTTTATTCAACAAAATAATATTTCGAAAGTAAGAATTAAAAGGTTATCTATATTCACAATGCTAATTTTAAAAATTTTAACTTTGATTTCATTTGTGATGTTAATTTTGAAGTTTTAAGATGAAAAAAAATGCATGAATCGAATTTATATTAAGATTATTAAGATATTAAAATATTAAGATTATTAATAAGATTATTAGATATAAATTAAAGTGATTTATTTAAAAGATACATATATTCGTGAATTAAAGTTTTTTTCTTCGTGTCAATGTTTTCAGAAATTTTATATTAACAACTTGACACAGATTTTCTTTAATATGTTTCCTCCTGTGGAATTTTTTGACACAGACTGATTTTTATATAAAAAATTTTAATATCAAATCTAGCTAAATAACGACTTACGGTCGTGCCAACGGTGTAACCTCCATTTTCACTAATAATCTGTTCAAACTTGTTCAAGTAAAATGGTATTGTTTCCTTCAGCAATTTCACCTTCTTCTCCTCTTTTTTGAAGAGATCCTCCTCGGTACGATATTGAGATATAACTGAAACGAATATGAAGGTAACCATTATCGTTTATTTGTCTCTTCTCATATCGACGAAGAGGGAAAAAGGAAAAATGCGAAATTGTGAAAGAAGAAAGATGTGTACGTTTTTTTTTTTTCACCACTTTCTTCAACTTTGCTTACATGTTTCTATATTTTATAAAATATTTCATAAATTGTAGTAATATTTCATTAGTATGAAGAAACTTGAACCTTTTAAATCTTTTAAGATAACCATTACTGATTCCAATTACTAAGAAAAATAGAAAATACAAAATTCCTTTAGTTTTATTTGAAAGTTTATTTGTTTTTTTTTTTAATTAAATAATCTATTATCTATATTTATAATATGCAATTTATTAAATTATTTAATGAAACTATCAGGATTAAATAAAAAATAAAATAAAAAAAGAGATGAAATAAAAAAAGAGATTATGAATAAAGAAATCACTTGAAATAATTAATCAATTTTAGAAGATTTATAAAGAGCAAAATTATGAAAATATTAAAAAAAAAAAGAAAAATAAAATTTAATTAAATATTAAAAACAGAATTATATCTTTGATAATTGCTTCTTAGTTTGATATCTCAGTCAATGATTAACATTTTACTTATCTAAAAGTTTACACAAGCTTTTTATATTTTCTTAATATATCTCAGTAATTATTTGACGATATATAAAAGAGAGAAAGAAAAAAAAGATAAACTAAGAAAATAAAGAATCGCGTAGGCGTATCGTCATGTTACGACATCGTTCGCTAATTGATGATCGTTATGTTAATCGGTATAGTTTAAAACAGGCCAACAAAAACACGTTCATTATCGTATGGAAAAATTTGCAATATATCCTGCTCAAATGCATCGAATCGTGAATCATCAACGGGATGAAGCGAACCAAGGAACGAAAGGAATAAAAAAAAAAATCTATCTTTATCATTAACGAATGGAATTTAATTATAAATAATATTGATATTTTTATGGATGATCCTCGAATAAAAAAAAAATAAATAAATAAAAGAAAAAAAATCAAAAGAACAGTCTACATTACTATTCAATGAGTCAATAGTCTATTTTCTTGGATTTTTTTTGCTTTTTTTTTAAATGATAATTTTTCAATTTTATCAATGTTATGTTGGACGTGTAAAAACACAAAATTATTCACATTTATGGAAATAAGTTGCATAAGTTTTGAATAATTCAGTTTATGTGATCTGTATATAGTTAATCCATTATACAATAATGTTATGCAATCACGCATATCATAATTAGAAATTAGTAATATTATCACACACTAACATCTTTCTTTGTTTGACCATTGAGTAACATCATTTTTTTCGCTCTTTCTGCGGATAATGATATTAAATTATATATTGATTTTGGTGAAGGATTAAAAATTTATGCTAAAAATAAATAATTAAAAATTAATTTAATTTAAAAAATAAATAAAAATTATAGTAATGAATTAAGTGATTTTTAAAAGATTTGTATGAAAAAAAATTTGAAAGTCATTATGAAATTAATGTCGATAAAATTATTATCATAATTGAAGTCTTAGCAAAAAATGTTGATATAAGTTTGCTACTTTTAATTTTCAAAAACAAAGAAATGCAATGTCATATAAATATCTTATGATTGTTAAATAAAAGATAAATTTAAAAAAAAATAATGAAAAATACATTAATTCTTATAGTTTCAATTAACCTATTGTTATAAATATATAATAAATTGTGGATTTTTGTGCAAATACATATTTTTCATATAACATATATTTTGCATATTTTTCATAAATGATATGAACAAATATGTTATATATATATATTTTTGATGTTAATTTTATTTGTAGAATAATGTAATGTTATAAACAAATTATTAACAACAATTATAAACAATAATTATATTAATAATTATAATTTATTCTAAATAAAACTTCTGAAAATATAAACTAATTATATGATATTCAAAATCAAAAAAATTCTGAATAGTTTATCTGAGCATAAAAGTAGTTCAATATGATATTAAAATAATGTTATATAAATGATACTTTTTTAAATTCTTTTTCAATTCAATTTTTTGAGATAAACAACACAATTTATCAAAAAGTGATAAAAATTTTTTTTATATAATGTTATAATTTCAAATAAATAAATCTAAATAATAAACTTAACACTTTGCAAATACTACAAAGTTTAATATATATTTTGAATAATATGACATGTTACATATTAATTGAATATTTGAATTTGTTTCAATTTCAGTTTACATTATAATGTATATATAATAATATTTTTCACAAAAAACTTAACAAGATATGATTTTTATTTTAATAG